GTATAAAGTATTCTTTTTCAAAGTCTTGTTATCCACAGATTCACCATTTAAGGCAAGATGCTGCCTTACAATAATAATCTATATATTACTAAATGTCTTGTATCTGTTTATAATCTTCAATTGGGCAAAATGGTGTATCATAAGGCAATCATTTTTGAACCAATATACCTCAAATGGGATAATTTACAGCGTGCATCCAAAATCCTGAACTCGTTAATCCCAGGGAATTGAAATTTGGCAAGTTGTGGCTACTTCAGTTACACTGCAACTCCATGCTGCCATGATTGGCCAAAATCACATGATTATCATGGGTTGATCTCAACCTTTCCTGCCTCCATGTGGTCCCTGCTTCCAATCGAGGGTAGTGAAGAAACGGTGCCAGTCCTTATTGTGAATATAATGTGAAAAGAAGAATGCTTCCTGTCAGCTTCCCACAAGTCAATGAGGATGTCAGCAGAAGTTGAACTCTTTCGAGGTGATGACAGTACCATATACCTCAGGGATTGAAATTTTTCAAAATTTTAGCGAGGACCCATTACTCCTGTGGGACTGAAATTTTACAAACCTGTTTCAAATGCTCCAGCTTTCCACAAAGAAAGTCGATGAGCAGCCAGCAGGAAGTCAGAAGTCACTCGCACTCCCATGCTTTTTTACTTGCCCCCATGATACTTGTTTCTTGTTTAGATAAAGAAGTATCTCTGAAACAACGACTCAATGAATCAGACAGAACAATAGATATCAATAGTAGAATATAATATAAATTATAGAATTTTGGAGAACATTTAGGAGTTTGCACTATTATAACAAATATAATCCCCATTATAACCAAAATCTACTGCTTTGTAATTTAAAGCCAATAAGGAACTCTGACTAATTTTACCCCATGATCTACATGATCTACATGACAGACCTTTTGATATCTCAAGACAACTCTCATGCCTCCCTGCCGTTTCCTTTTTTCTGGACTGAAAACAACTAGTGTTTCCAACAGTTTCTCATAATTTTTTCTTTCCATGATCCCTGTCATCTTGATTGTACTTCTCTGACATTTTTCAATTTGCCAATGTCCTTCTTAAAACTGAATGCAGCATTGTAGGGATAGTCTGATTAATACAAAATAGAGAGGGACAATGTTTTATTTGCTTTTGCCACTGAATCTGTTAATGCACAATCACAACTGCTTTTCTGCAACATCACATTCTTAATTGACATTCATCTTGGTGATACACCAATCCAGCCAGATTACTTCTTGCATATACTTTGTATCAGGTTTTGATATCGTCTTCAAATAAAATAAATTGCATTTCCAAACAGATAAGTCTTTGAGGAAATCTTTCATTTTATTAAGCACGACAATCTGCCCCTGATTGTGGCGTAGCCATCTCTGACTTCCTGACCCCAAATCCTCCCTTTCCTTTCCCCAAATCTCTGCATCTCATTGGCCTTCTTCCAAATCACTCTCCCCATATCTACCACCTAAGCTCCCAGGAATGTCCCTCTCCCTCTCATCTCCTAGGGGATATTATCTTCAAGAAAAATAAGTAGGTGAAATGTCAAGCGTCCTCTTGCCAGCTGCCCCCTCTTCTCCTTCTTATGTCAGCACTAGAGTAAATGCAGGTTGAAGTGCTGACATCTTGCCTAGTTTGTCCCCTACCCTAATTTTATATTCTTGCCTTTGATTTTCCCTACCAAAAGGTAAGACTTACCAATTGTCTCTATTGATATTCATCTTGTTGGTTTTTGTTCATTATTCCAACTTGTCAAGACCTTTCTTTATCTTGTTACTGTCTTCTACAGTGTTTGCATTTCCCTTATCTTTTTGTCATATGCAAATCTGATAATCCTATTTTCTTACTCCTTCTTCAGTTCATTTATAAGTAGGCTGAACAGCAGATACTTTTCTTACACTTATCAGTAGCAATTGTTTAGTGGTCTTTCCAGTGGTGAAATCCAATTTTTTTCACTACCAGTTCTGTGGGCGTGGCTTGGTGGGCATGGTGTGGTGTGGCTTGGTGGGCATGGGAGCGAAACGATTCTGCAAATCTCCATTCCCACCCCACTCTGTGGCCAGCCAGAGGTGGTATTTGCCGGTTGTCCGAACTACTCAAAATTTCCACTACCGGTTCTCCAGAACCTGTCAGAACTTGCTGGATTTCACCCCTGGGTCTTTCCCACTTTTTCTGTGTAGGCTAGCAATTAACCTGAGACTTTCTCCAAACAAAGCACCTGTTCTACTATTGAGTTAATCATTCAATCATCAATATTGCTATAGTGAATTGCTTCAGTTAAAAACTTTTATAATAAACATAGTGAATATGATTCTTTGAGAGCCAGCTTGGTGAAGTGGCTAAGGCATTAGGCTCAGAACCAGCAGACCGTGAGTTCTAGCCCTTCCTGAGACACAAAGCCAACTGGATGACTTGGACCTGTCATTCTCTCAGCCTAAGAAAAAAGGCAATGGCAAACCCCTTCCAAAACATCTTGCCAAAAATCCTGCAACAGATTGCAACAGATAATCTCTGAGAATCAGAAACAATTGAACAGGTTGGAGGGGGAGGCAGGATTCTTTATACAACTGGCTAAAAAAGATGGCCTTATTTCACTGTCCAAACATTAACACCAAAAATTAGTAACTCACATAAATATGCCACACTAGCTTAACACAATTTCATAGAAAAGAAATGAGGGGAAAAAAGAAAATTATGCAAATATGGAAAGTGTCATTCTCATTTTGTGTGCGTGTGTGTGATTCTAGAAACATATAACCTGTTGCTTATTGAAAAATACATGAAGCAAAAATGAACCATTGCTTTTCACTAGTCCACTATCTTTTACAAAATACCCAGAGAGAGTTATCGAGATTTTTCAACTTGCATCTAATAAATTATTCAGAAGCTTGGTCTCACTGTGTAAAGAAAGCCATATGGGAGACACACAAAACTGTGGTCATATAAAACAGACCAACATCTGACCTCAGTTATGCTCATATATAACTCTGACAAGGGAAAACACTGAATTGAGTATATTTAATATGCAAGGTAAACACTGACCAGATTTGGCAGATAAGCAGATAGAAACCCTGCCGCCTTAAGCAAGTTTAACAATCAAATTAGTAAAAAGCCAACATTTCAACCACAGTATTTTTTCTGGATATACACCCAGTGAACTTGAAACAGGAAAGTACAGCAGATCAATAAATTAACACAGTAAGAATCTAATTAGGAGACAACTGTTGCTGTTCAATACTTTCAAAGCATTAGAATAGTGATTCATATTCACAGTATTGTCTAAATTAAAGAAACTTCTATGTACTTTCAAAAACCAATCCTACTGCTGAATACATGGGAATATCAGGAGAAGAATGCACAATACTTCTAGCTGCATAAATAGATTATGCAGCTTAGGCAGTTATGAGATATAACAAGATCTAACAATTAACGACTGAGGTGAGGGGGAAACAAAGAAAGCAACCACATTTGCCTTGTCAAAAGAAAAGGAAAAAAGAAATCACAATTGAGCCAGAAAAGCTTACATTCAATCAAGTTAGCTCTGAAAGGCAGATAAAAAATGATTTCAAATTGATTTTAAAGGAACATTAAAAGCTTAGCTGCAAAGTTTGCATCAGCCAATTCAGATGAAATAGCAATAGTACTTATTTGGAAAGCCTTCAAAAAAAAAAAAATTTCTTCTCCAAGCCACTTATCCTGGCATGCTGGTGCTCCTGTTTTTCACCGAGGAGCTGAGTTTAAAGTGCAAACATGCAAACTTGGCTGATACACTGATTATATTAAATTACAAGACAAGATTTTGATGGTGCCGTGCAATCCCTAATTGGCTTTAACTTGAGAAATGCAATTTAAATATGAAAGCCCAAATAAGATCCAGATTCACTTTGCACTGGAATAACACAAATTCTCCAAGATAATACTGTGGAAGAATTATGAAAGCAAAATGAATAAAAGAACAAAAGATCAAATCTAGTATGGGAGTAAATCTCAATGAACTCCACGAGATTTATTTCTAACTCCACAAGAAAAAAAAGTTAAGAAAATATTTTTCCATTTAGTATATAAAAAAAAACCCTCCCATCCATCTAAACATGAAACAGAATCATCTTATTTACCCTGATGTCAATGAAAGAAATTGGTACCAGTTACATTTGCAACCAGATCTTGCATTGTACATTCTAAAGGCAGAAGATCAGATTGCCACCTACAGGCATATTTAGTTTCTCACTCCCCACCTCCTTTTTAAAAATTTCTTTTGAAAGTACATAAACAATGCAAAAGAGCTGGAACATAATAGAAAGCATTTTTTAGATGAGTCTTGCAGTCCATTTATACTACAATGTCCTTTAAGAACAATAGAACACAGATCATCTTTTCTCATAAATATAGCTGACATAGGACTTTTTCCCACATAAGAATGCACATCAGATGAGTCACAAATGAATGTATAGGCTGCTTTCACAGAAACATTATGACTTGTCAGCTGGATTGATGTCATATGCTGCTCCTTGCTATTGTTGGGTTGTACTTTTTGTTTTACTCTTCTGAGTAATCACTTCATATTACAGTAATTGAACAAGAATATGTACTCATCTAAGCTATAGGTTTTTAAATAATCAAGCACTGATATCAGACCAAAAATAATATCAGACTAGGTTCTGCTCCAAGTCTCATAATAACAAAAGGAAACAATAATAATACAATGACCAAAAGTCAAGAGGGTTTACAGTTTTGGCTTAAATTTAATTTGCCTAAACCACATCCTACAAAATAGGCTTTGATTTTGATTAAACTTGCATAAGATCAAATTGCAGAATTAATAATAATAGACTAAGTTGATATATTTTATTTGTAGTCTTGATTATAACTTTTTCATTCCAAGTATAGAACCAGACTTATTAAAGCTATAAAACCATAGAAAATGCATTATCCATCTAAAATGTTCAATTTTGGCCACTCTACAGTTCTGTAGAAGAAACATAAGCCATTTACCTGATACAATTGGTGCTAGCCTGAATATATCCGTTAACCTGCTGTTCACTGGTTCATAAGGTGATTCTTCAAGCAAATCATTTCCTAAAAACAATTTAAAATGATTTTTTTTTTCTTTCATGCTTTTTAAAACATTTTCTAAACTACAACACTCCTAGGATCTCCAGGCTATTCCCAACAACAAACATGAAAATGAATTCAATTATTACTACTTTCCACTTTTTATCTGGCCTCTCATCCCACCATATCATCTTCTTCAACTCTTTTTCTTTGGTAACAATCCTACAGAAACTTCAATTGAAGGAATTTTAATCTTTCTCTTTTGTATCTGTAGCTGTTAAAGATAGGGGAACAAACTTCAAGGACTCATTACTTTGAAGTTCAATCATTATTATATCTTATAAATACTTTGTACTTACTTCCAAATAAAAGGTAATACAGAAATCAAATAAATAATATAAAGAGAAGTAAAAAATGTTTTTTTTAAAAAATGGCAGGGGATGTTATATTTATAATAATCATTTTCTAGAGATGTTAAGAGAAAAAAAGTACTTTTTTTTCAACTTTTCTTGTAAACCAAATAGATTTAGATCTACATCTAACTGCATCCAATACACGTGGAACAAGTATTTTTCTTAGTTAAGAGAGTGCCAGAAAACTAAGGAAAAAACCTCATCCATACATCTATGAGAATCACAATAATTCTTTCCTCAAAAAAATCTTAAATTTGACATTCTATGAGAAATGTATGGGTATTTACAGAATTCTGTGGGAAAACTCATCTGTTTAATATGTGAGATATAGGCCACCAGCCTTCTTCAAAGCTGGGACAAAAATTCCACCATTTTACTTGAAGCAATGGAGACCCTAGGCTTGGCTACTTGTTTTTTGTCAGCCTATTTTATCACATAAGCCAAAAACCACTGCCTTGAGAAAATAATGGATAAAGCAGAGTATAAATCTGAGAAATAAAAATGCATTCAGATACTTGGATGAAAGACCCCAAGTAAGAAGTCAATAATCCAAAGTTAAACTATTTTGTTTAGCAGCAAATATTGATTCAGCTAAGCCTCTCAGATATAAAGAGACATTCTTGTAAGACATATAGAATAACAAGAATAGCATAGCTGAACTTTAAATTGTCAACAAGAGCCATATGCTGGAGATCCCTATTGCCTCAGGAAACAATGACTATAATTTTTTTCATTGGCTTGATGTCAGCATGTTATTAAAGGAAGCTTTTCCCAAAATTCATCTACTCCCACACTACAGAAAGGATGCTGCTGTTAGATATGTCTTGGGTAGCTTGGCTAAGGGAGGTGTGACTTCAATTTGACCTCACAGGTGAGAAATTGGCCTGTATAATCTCCCGACTTTAGATTTCATTAACAAAGGCTGATGGTCTTTGCTGGGAGGAGGGGAAGTTCCTAATTCAACCGCTTTGTAGATCTGTACTCCCCTTTTGACTTTGGTTTACAAAGGTCAGAGGAGTCCCTTCTGGGAAAATCTTTTGAGTTTTCATTTTCAACAATAGGAAACAGCAACAGCTGCTCTGGCTGGGTGGCATCAGTGGTCCTCCCTCTGCAGCCAAAGAGCACAAAGAAAATTACAAGGTCAGTTGATGGAGGACCCGGGGGGCAGGACAGAGGGCATTCCTTTCTAGCACTGGGGAAGGAAGGAGGCAGGGAAGGATGTTGTGTATGACAACCACGTACCCTGTAAGCTTTGGTACATGCTCCAGTAAATACGCAGACAGTTTTTCTCCTTTTTCATGCCTCTTTTGCAGCGGCAATTATAGAGGGATTTCTGCTTGAGAGCCTCCATGGCGCTTTTGCACTCGTCCTTTGCCTCCAGGCCTGCTGCCCGGCTGAAGTTGCTCTCTTTGCCAGCTACACACTGCCTCAGTGTCCTGTATTTAGTGCTGCAGCTCTGCTCTCTGAGACACTGGTCGCTGGCTTTCACACAATCCAGATGGTCTCCTCCAAGCAGCCCACTCACTTCAGCCGAGAAGAGCACTTCTGCATTCAAAGAGAGCAAAAGAGAACCTGTCAACCCCTGAGAGGTCAGTCCAAGAGAATATACACAAAACTACAATAATTGCAAGGATCCAAGGAGGGGGGGAGGGAGATGCAGAGAGAGCTTGGCTTTGGCTGCCTTTCTCAGGATAGCAAAGACACCAAAGAGAACTTGGCAAATGGAAGGCTAACGTCTCTCCCTCTTCAGGAAATTCTTTAAAATTGAATGGTTTTTTTAAAAAGTCATTGCCAAATCAATGCATCAGCTGTGTAAGATAAAGTCATCTCACCTATTAGCCCCATTTTACAGCCAGTTTTTTTCTCCCAAGTTTCATTTTCTTTGGAAAACCCATATTTATGGAAGTTAACTTTCAAAGTATAGAAACCATCCCCTTTATGCTCTAACAACAGCATTAGGAAGTTAAATGTTCATCTGCACAAAGGCAGTGTTGTGATTTTAATTTCAGTCAGGAAAAAAGTCAAATGAGAGCAATATTCTTAAACATCCAGGAATCTTTCAAACTTCAGCTTCTTTTTAAAAAGCTAGGCTTCTGATGTCTTCCACTGGAAAGATTTAAAAACAACAAGAGGAATTTTCAAATTCCTCTTCCTCCAGCATTCTTGGTACAACCAATATGTCATCTTTTAATTCTTTATTTCCTTTCCAATAAAAAAAGACAAACTGGGCTGTGTGCACTCAAACACACCCCATATCTATTTGCAAGCCACAGCAGACTGGAGGTACAAGTCTTTTTTATTGCCACAGCTCAGAACAGTCAGGATACAACTATACCTTTTATAAATTACAACCCTCACTTTCTTCTAATAAAGATGAATTTACTGGAAAGTTTTACTTCCAACTTACTTCCAGTTTAAAAATCAAAAGGCAGCATATCTTTTGCAAACAGCACCACCCTGTGTAAGTTTTACTCAGAAGTAAGCCCAACTAAATCCCAACGAGACCTACAGCCAAGTAAGCAGGCGCTGAATTACAGTGTAAAAAGCCATTCTCCGCGTTGCAAATATTGGTGTAAAACTGGCAGACCACCGTGTCTTTCCCAGACAATCAATCGGCTATCAGCCACTGCTTGGAACTCACAAAGCCAAGAAAGATTGTACAGAGTCACATACCAATGATTTAACGCACCGGCCACTTACCCATTAAGGGCAACACCAAGTAGAAGGTAGCCAGAGGCATCTTGCTCCTCGACAAATCCTTCTCTCCAACGAACTTGCTTCCGTCGCTCCAGAAGGCGATCTCAGCACCTAAGATATTCCAAACCAGCAAGGTTCCAAAGCCACCAAGTTCATATCCATTGAATTTACAAGGGAGAGGGGGAGAGAGAAAAAGAAAGAAAGAAAGAAATCCCCACCCTCTCCTCTCTCTCTCTCTCTCTCTCTCTCTCTTCCGTCCACCGGGAGCAAAAGCAAGAGCAGCTGCTCTGCAAAAGGAGGGGGAGGCGAGGCGAAAGGCGAAGATTTTCTCACATGGAGGAGCTTACATCCCAGGATCCCGGAAAACAGAAGGGTCGATTTCTCAATCAAAGCGAGCGAGAAGGAGAGCCAGCCTTTCCCACTTCAAGCGCGGGAGCGCAATTCGGAGCTGGAGCTTCCCCAGCCTCTTTTTCGGGGGGCGGAGGGGGGGGCAACGTCTCCCCCTAGCAGGAACTCCAAGAAAGCCGAGAGGGAGGGGGGAGAAAAGGAACAGTGATCCAGAGGTTGGTTTCCCAGTCCCGCTGCCGTCCGACAACCCGCCGCCGGTCTCCTTTACAGCCGCCTCCAAGTCTGCGGGCGACCCCCGGGTTAGCCCAAGGGGTCCCTCTGCCTTCTCTGAAGGGACTTTTTTCACCTCCCCGAAACCTGCAGCCTTTCAGGGTCTGCGCCCAATTAGCTGGGTCCGAGCTCGATTCTCGGAGAAAGGCACTAGAAAGGCGGCCAGCCCCACCGAAGCCTCCTTTTGTAGCGCCGCCGGCGTTTCTCGACGCGCTCCAGTCGCCCCCTCTATTGGACGAAGAGACACGGCAACGGCCGGGGCTCTCGATCCCGCCGGAGGAAGCGCTCCAGCAGGTGCAGCTCTTGCTCTCGAGGCAAACCGCTCTCGCTTCCACGGGAGGAAAGTCCCTCCGCTGGACTGAACGGGGCAGAGTCGGAGAAAGCAAAGGCGACCGCTCTCGTCCCCCGTCCCCGGAAAAGTTTTTTTCCTGCGCTCGGTTAGGTTTCACCCAGTCGCCACCAAAAAAAAAAAAAAAGCAAGACGCCACGTTCGTTCGCGAGTGGACGCGGGAGGGAGCTTTAGTACCAACCGGACGGGGGAGGAGAGGCGATGTTATAAATCAAGGATGGATGGATGGATGGATGGATGGATGGATGGAAAGAAAAAGAGAGAGAGAGAAAGAAAGAGAGAGAGAAAAGAAAGAGAAAGAAAGAGAGAGAGAGAGAAAGAAAGAAAGAAAGAAAGAAAGAAAGAAAGAAAGAAAGAAAGAAAAAGAAAAACTCAATGGAGCTTTAGTTATAAGCCAAAGGAGCTGTGGGTTTGGAGAAATTGGTTCGCGCTCAGGACTGTCTCGCCTGACAGTCCTCGACCACCGTTCTTGTGTAGACCCTTCCCAGCAAGCGAGCGCTTTTGCGGAAGGCGCCTCCCTTTCGCTTTTTTTTTTTTTTTGCCACTGAGCGCGTCCCTGCCTTTCACGTTTGCCGAGGAAAGGAACTTTCAGGCGCCCTTCCCACGGCCAGCCTGCGCGCGTTTCCAGGTGCGCAAGGGAGCAAAGCAGCCAATCTCGGGGAAATCTCGGAAAGCCCCTTGGCCGGAGCTTGGAACAGGGTGAGAGAAGGAACAAGCGCGGTGCTCTTGAGGGTCGGTCTGTTTCAAAGATAACCCACTTCCCGCCCCTGCTGGCTTGTATTGACTGTTGCTATCAAGTATTGGATAAATGTCACAGGCAGTTAAATTATCCATTCAAGAACAAAGGCGTGCATGGCCCCTTTTATCTTACGAATTATATCGATTAGGGATGGCCTTTTTGCTGCAGGTAGCTTGGCTGTAGCACACTTTTTTTTTTCAAATTTCCAAAACATTGGCAGCAGAAAGAAACAAGGAAAGTTAATACCTCCTGTGAAACCGGCAGGGAACACATCCTCCACTATCACATCTATCCCAAATTTCGGGATTAGGAGCAGAGTGGCAGCATGTTTGCTAGGGCTGCGACCTTAAACACATTAATTTAATTAGCTTGCCCAACAAATAGCTTTTAAGGGTGTTATTTAAATTCCTGTACCACCACCACCACCCCGCCACCATTGCCCTCACTATCCAACAATATGGAGAACAACAAGGTAGGGGGTACTGAATTAAGTTGCTGGTCCTCCGGAGCATAGATTAATTTCTTCTGAATTAGGTAGAGTTGAGGGTAAACCATGCCAAGTAAACGAAGAGCTGGATGAAATCAACCTCATAATCTTTCTGTTGGGTGTTGCATATATGTGAAGAAAGTGGGTAAGATTTTGTGTACCTGACCATTCCTTTGAAAATGTTATCAGGCTTGGGAAAATGTGTACAGGCATGTACTTGTTGTATCTGTTCAGATACTCACTAATCGCTAAAGTCAAACATTACTTCAATGTATCAATTTACACTTCAGTCCTGAATAAACAAATCAAATATATGTCACAGCTATATGACAGATGGCTCTAGCAGAGAACTGTCAGCTATTTTCACACAGTTTCTACTTATATAGAGAATCTCCCCCTCCCAAAATATCCCCAAAATCTAAAAAACAATGCAAATTAGATTTTAAAAAATCTAAAGTTCTATCTCTGTGCACACATACAACAAAACTCAAGTTAGCTTCTCAATATTTACAGATCTTTTGACATTTACTGAAGAGCAGGAAAAGAAAGTCAAGTCTACAAATATCCTCGGAAACAGGGGAAAAAACAATCTTAGGTACATTTCTCAGAAGGCGTATTGTGTTCAGGGAGATTTACTCTCACATATGTCAGTATGGCTTAAAACTGATCAACGTCCTCATTTTAAATTTACTCAGATATAAATTCCCTTTCAGTCCATTCCAGTCTCCCTCCCAAAGCACATCTTGAATTATGTCCCAAAGTGATCAGCATAAAATGAATGCTAAAGGATAAATTGATGGTAAAAGCCACAGTACAGGTAGTCCTAGACTTACGACCACAATCAAGGCCAAAATTGTGTTAAGTGAGACATTTGTTAAGTGAATTTTGCCTCATTTTATGAACTTTCTGGCCACAGTTGTTAAGTGAATCGCTGGAGGTGTTAAATTAGTAACACAGTTAAGTGCATCTGGCTTCCCCATTGACTTTGCTTATCAGACGCTTGCAAAAGATGATCCTATGACCTCAGGACACCGCATCTGTCATAAATATGAGTCAGATGCCAAAGTCTGGATTTTGATCATGTGACCATGGGATGCTGTAATGGTAGTAAGTGTGAAAAAAAAAATCATGTCACTTTTTTCAGTGCCATTATAACTTTGAATGGTCACTAAATGAACTGTTGTAAGTCGAGGGCAACCATTATCTTCACATGAAAAAGCAGACATACACACAATTGGGCAATATGTTATTTCTGATGTTTGAGTGCAAAAGGTAAAGGATGCTTGAGCTGCTACAAGGTAAATGGTCCACAACATTTCTTTGCTACTGCATCTGGTGCACTCCTCCCCATGTGGTGAGAATCCAGGTTCAATTTAAATATTCATGAGTTGACTCCTGGGGGCTGCCTGGACAAGTCCCTGCAATTTTCTTGGCAAAGTTTTCCAGAACTGTTTTGCCATTGCCTTCTTTCTAGGGCTGAGACAGAGAGTGACTGGGCCAAGCTCATTAAGCTGGTTTCATGTTTTAAAGTTGGGATTAGAACTCACAGTCTCCTAGTTTCTAGTCTTACTACATCAAACTGGCTCTCAATAATTAATTATTATGTAATTAGATAAACATAAAATGGAAGATAAATTGTGATCATGATAATTTATTATGTTTCCATATGTCAGTAAACTGATTAAACCGAGGGCTCAGGGCAGGGGCGGGGGGGGTGGCGGTTATTATAAAGGAAGGTCTGGATCCAAGGGAGACCACTGTTCCACAGATAGCCGGATGTGAGTCCCTCTTTGTAAAGTGGGGTCGTGGAGTACAGATGGGCTTGTTGGTCACGTACCTGGCTCCCTGCCACGTGGCAACGGCCCTGCCCGAGCTGCTTAACGTTATAGCCGAGGTGGCGGTGGACACCCCCAGACTTGTTATTATGGGGGATTTCAACCTGCCATCTATCGGTGAAATGTCTGAGGTGGCTCGAGAGTTCATGGCTTCCATGACGGCCATGGACCTTACTCAGTTAATTCATGACCCCACTCACACAGGGGGACACACTCTGGACTTAGTTTTTGTCTCTGGTCAGTGGTTGAGTGCCCTTGATATAGGGGATATAGCCATCGAACCCTTGTCATGGTCTGACCACTCGCTCCTTCGACTGGACTTTCTAACCACTGCACCCCGCCGCTGGGAGGCGGGACCGACCAGGTGGTTCCGCCCCAGGCGCCTGATGGACCCTGATAGGTTCCAGATGGAGCTTGGGCCATTTCCTGAGACTCTGGCTCATGACTCGGCTGAAGACCTGGTGGCCGCCTGGGATAGTGCGGCTTCCGGGGCCTTGGACCGTGTCGTGCCTTTGCGGCCTCTGACCCGGCACCGAACTCACCTAGCTCCTTGGTTCTCCGAGGAGCTTAGGGAGATGAAGCGCCGGAAAAGACGCCTGGAGAGTAGTTGGAGGACCAGCCGCTCCGAATCCGACCGAACACTGGTGAGGTCTCATATTAAGACCTACCTAGTGGCGATAAAAGCGGCAAAATCTAGCTATTTTGCCGCTCTTATCGCGTCATCAGATAATCGCCCGGCCGCCCTGTTTAGGGTGACCCGCTCCCTCCTCCATCTGGAAGTGTGGGATGACCCCTTGCAGGGCCGAGCTGAGGACTTTGTGCAGTATCTGTATGACAAAATCGCTCAGATTCGGGAAGGGCTGGCCTCTGACTGGGTATGTCCGGACGGGATGACTGAGGCAGGTCTTGAGAGTGTTACCTGGGGGCAGTTTGATCCTGTGGCTCCCGAGGACATGGATAGGGTCCTGGGACGGCTGAACGCAACCACATGTTTATTGGACCCGTGCCCCTCCTGGTTGGTACTGGCTTCCCGGGAAGTGACATGAGGCTGGCTCCAGAAGATTGTTAACGCTTCTTTGAGTGAGGGGGTCCTGCCGGCTGCTTTGAAAGAAGCGGTTGTGAGGTCCCTCCTCAAGAAGCCCTCTCTGGATCCGGCTGTTTTGGCTAACTATCGTCCAGTCTCCAACCTTCGCTTTGTTGCGAAGGTTGTTGAGAGTGTGGTGGCGCAACAGCTTCCCCGGTACCTGGATGAAGCTATCTAGACCCGCTCCAGTCCGGCTTCCGGCCTGGGCACAGCACGGAAACGGCATTGGTCGCGTTGGTGGATGATCTCTGGAGGGCTCGGGATAGGGGTTGCTCCTCTATCCTGGTCCTGTTAGACCTCTCAGGGGCTTTTGATACCATCGACCATGGTATCATGTTGCACCGGTTGGCGGGGTTGGGGGTGGGGGGCACCGTTCTGCGGTGGTTCTCCTCCTACCTCTCTGACCGGTCGCAATCTGTGTTGACAGGGGAGCAGCGGTCGACCCCGAGGCACCTTGCTTGTGGGGTACCACAAGGGTCGGTCCTCTCGCCCTTCTGTTCAACATTTATGTAAAGCCTCTGGGTGAGATCATCCGTGGCTTCGGGATGGAGTTCCATCAGTACCCTGATGACACCCAGCTGTACATCTCCACCCCAGGCCACCCCAACGATGCCCTTGAAGTGATGTCCCAGTGCCTGGAGGCCGTGCGGGCCTGGATGGGGAGAAACAGGCTCCGACTCAACCCCTCCAAGACCGAGTGGCTGTGGCTTCCGGCGTCCCGATATAGCCAACTGACGCCATCGCTGGCTATTGGGGGCGAATCACTCGCCCCCATGGAGAGGGCTCGTAACTTGGGCGTCCTCCTGGACGCACGGCTGTCGTTAGAAGAACATTTGACGGCCGTGGCCAGGGGGGCTTTTTATCAGGTCCGCCTGATACGCCAGTTACGCCCCTTTCTAGATCGGGACTCCCTACGCACAGTCACTCAGGCACTCGTCACTTCCCGCCTGGACTACTGCAACGCTCTCTACATGGGGCTCCCCCTGGGGTGCACCCGGAGGCTCCAGCTGGTCCAGAACGCGGCCGCGCGGGGGATTATGGGGGCAACGAGGCGCTCCCATGTAACACCTCTCCTGTGCGAGCTGCACTGGCTCCCGGTGGTCTTCCGGGTGCGCTTCAAGGTGTTGGTGACCACCTTTAAAGCGCTCCATGGCTTAGGGCCGGGGTACTTACGAGACCGCCTTCTGCCACCAATAGCCTCCCACCGGCCAGTACGCTCGCACAGGTTGGGCCTCCTCAGGGTGCCATCCGCCAGACAATGTCGGCTGACGACTCCCAGGGGGAGAGCCTTCTCTGTGGCGGCGCCCACCCTCTGGAACAACCTCCCCCCAGAGATACGTACAATAACAGACCTCCGGATTTTTCGTCGGGCCCTGAAAACCCA